CATTACGCGGAGTATCTGGGGAGCTGGAAGATGAGAATTGGCGATTTTGTAGTACAACTTTAGTACGCGGAGCAAGCTGTGGAGCTGGAAGCTAAGAACTGGCGATTTTGTAGTACAACTTTAGTACGCGGAGCATCTGGGGAGTTGGAAGATGAAAACTGGCGATTTTTTAATATAACTTTAGTACGCGGAGTAATCTGTGGAGCTGGAAGCTGAGAACTGGCGACTTTGTAGTACAAGTTTAATATACGGAGTATTTGGGGAGCTGGAAGATGAGAATTGGCGAAGTTGTAGTACAACTTTAATACGCGGAATATTTGAGCTGGAAGATGAGAACTGGCGATTTTGTAGTACAACTGTAGTACGCGGAATTAGTTGTGGAGCTGGAAGCTGAGAATTGGCGATTTTGTAGTCTACTTATAATACGTGGAATGAGTTGTGGAACTGGAAGCTGAGAACTGGCGATTTTGTAGTAAAACTTTAGTGCGCGGATGAGTTATTTCGCGCGGCTCAATCATCTTTCGCGGCTGTTCTAGCGCCCCTGCAGCTGAGTCATGTTTCTCGACCACCCGGCTTTCTTGAAAGGTTGACAAATTTTGGCTACTTTGTTTACTCATAAGTGGCTGCTATAAAAGAAGAATCGTAACGTTAGTATGTGTGTATTTCACCTTTATGATAAACGATTTTCGCTTGGAATGCACGAGTCGCTTATTATGATCGTAACGTCGTTTATTCTTAGGTCGCCCTGTTCGTGGAAACTTCAATCTGAAAAAATATACGTTCTTTAGTTCTGTTTGAACCTCTTCAATGTTATATTTGCACAACTAAGGTTGATGTTGCGCTGCCGTTGCATCGACTCATCTACGTCTACACCCCCTCACCTCTCTACATTTACATCTTCACACGTTCATATCCGCAGATCTACCTCTCCACCTCACCACACCCACGCATCTGCACATCTATATCATATCTGTACATCCACATTGTCGTTCCTTCACATCTGTCCTGTCTTTCTTTCTTACTTTCTTTCTTTCTTTCTGCATATCTTTTTTCTCGTCTCTGTGTATTTATATCTTCGCACGCTCATATCCATAGATCTACCTCTCCACCTCCATACATCTACAAATCTATATCGCACCTGCACTCCTTCACATCCACCCTCTCTTTCTCTCTTTCTACACATCTTTTCGACAGTGCTGGACAATTACATGTCTCGCTCTCGGGCCAACCGTCGTCTATTTTGCAGTGCATAAGCTTACATGAAAACTCCAAAATTAAACCCCCATTAAATAGTAATATGTCTTCTCAACAAAGGACTTCTTCTGACCCACAAATAAATCCGGCGTTAGTTGGCGACCCACCCGCTTGCGTTGTGCCTGTGGTAAAGGTAATGTCAAAATCGCAAAATAATTTAATACCTTGAAATTGATCTTTTTATTAATAGAAATTATTCTATTTTGTTCCAAGCCTAAAAAAACAGCTCGTAACCTTATGAAATGTAGTGAAGCTTCGTCGCAGAATAGGACTTCGTCTGAGCCCGAGACAGGTCTAGTGTTAGTTGGCGACCCGCTAAGTTGCCTGCAGCCAACCAAGGGCGGGCACGGCAACAGGGATAACAGGACACCCAGACATCATTCCAAATCAGCGCAATCCATTCAGAATCCAACCCGAATCCATCTAGAATTACGTTAAGCTCGGTCCCTTGTTCGAGAGGTCTGAGGCGTTATGCCGAAAACAAATTCCTGAAAATAATATACAAATATACCATGCAAATTATAACATTTTAGCATATATTTGATAAGCTATTGGATCGTATGTTTTCAACTGGGCCCTCTTGCAAGGGCAAGGTAGCAGGTAACAATCTCCCCAGGCTTTAATTTCGCCTGCCAGCGTGGTCGCAAAACTCGTGGACAAACCCACGGTGAAAACAACACAAGGCAAACAACAAATAGTGCAAACGATCGGTAGAAAAAATTCCGGTATTCACACCATGAGAACCGAAAATATTTGCATTATTTTGGGAACTTTGGAAAGCAACAATGATATCGCGAATATATACTGTGCCTAGCATTTTTTCGATTGTTTGTAATTTCAAGACTGTGACCCCCGGAAGCAGCTACGCCTCTGCTGGGCCACGCGCAAATGGCAAAATGGCTGCAATAACAGGACTGCTATGGTAAAGAATTGAAAATCGAGCTGATTAGGGCACCATCAATTTTGAGAAAACCCAATTCGTGTTTGCAAAGAAATTTCTTTCTTTTCATAATGCTTCTGTGCAAGAAATTGTCTCCAATTTATATATAATATTGTACGATGTCCATGATGCCTGCAAAAAACACCGTATAGTTTGATAATGCTAGTTTGCACGAAGCTGTCTCGCAATTGCCATCAATGCAAAGATCTTTTTTTTTGAAGCGGCAAAAGGCAATTCGAACAGAAGGTCATTCAAAATATGGAACAAATGACCGGCGCAGTCACCACAATGCAGAATGAATAATATATATATATAGATATATGTCAAAAGATACAGGTCGAAAATAGATCAATGCAATATTGTCAAATAAATGCAAAATCTTTCAAAATATCAAACAAATCAAAATTTTATTAATACAATATTATCACATAAATATATTCTGTCAAAATATCAAATACACATATTAAATTTGCGACGCGTTCATACATATAATCATTAAAAAGAAAATATTATAATAAGGCCATATTCCCTTGCGCGTCCGAATGTTGCAGCACAAAGCGCTGCCGCACGCGTCCAAGAAATGTTCGACAAATACATAAGAATGAAATAAAAAATATAAATCCAAAATCGATCGTTACGAATAATTTCGATATAAATCAACATTGTTTATGGTAGACCATGCGAGATTCGAACCCGCGACCGACGACATCGGAACGTCATCGAATTACTTAAATAATATATGCCCCAAGACGAAACTTGAGGCCGAGGGGACGAAAACTAGCAGGGGTGCATCCGGCCTGGTGGGACATCAAGCGGAGTGAAGCAAATGCTCATGAGGTAAAATGTAGTAAACATGTAAAATACCCAAACAGCAATAACATAACCAACCTTAGAATTAAAGTCCCCGATAATTAAGGAAGCGTGGCCGGACTTTACCACACTATTCGATGCATCCGATATATTCACGAACCTGTGAATTTGTTAAATCTATTACACCGTATCCCAAAACCTCCACGGAGGAATTAAATCAGTATAAATGCCATAAGATGCCCAAGAGATATTCCAAGAGGTATCCCAGAGGCAAAACAAAGCTGCTTACATAATTTGTTTAGTTTCTTCTATCGATGTCGATATCATAAACATGGGAACTTGTTAAATCTATTATACCGTATTCCGGAAGAATTAAGTCAAAGCTAATGCCATAAAAAATACCCGAAAGATATCCCAAAAGCGTCCGAAAGAAAAATTAAATCCACGGAGGAAAATCCCACATATGAAGTTTTCACGTAATGCGACGATCCCGAAGATTCCAATCCCTCATTTTCTAAAAAAATAATTCCAACTAAATAATACTAATTTTCGTAAATATAATATCTAACATAATTAAACTATATTATATATTTAAAAATCGAAATATATTTAATAATCGAAGTATTTAAGTAAAAATCCGGACCGCAATAAAAATCATAAATCAATTGCACATAATCAAAACTAAAAATAAAGAAACGAACATATAAGAAATAATACGATTATTTCAATCATTTTGCTTCAAAAATCCGCATATTTTTGCTCAATCGTAACCCAATCCATATTATAAATAATAATATTTTAATATCTAAATATTTAAAAAACATAAAAATACATTTTCAAATTATTATAAATAATATTAATTAAATTTAATAATTATTAAAATCCTATTATCCCAATATCATATTTCATATCATTATCATCATCAATAATATTATAGAATATCTAAACAATATATTCATCATATTTTAATAAGAAATCCACGATATAAAAGAGACACAAAAACCAATAAAAATCATATCATAGGAATATTAATATTCTATTTCGGATCCATTATTTCAGTTTTATATGAGCAGCGGACAAAATTACTTGTGTAGCCAAATACCATTTGGCATGATTATCGTTTTTGGTGGGGCCCATATCGTTCTCCAATGTTTCTCCAAACCGTAGTTAGCATAGCATACCGGCACATAGACTAAAACACAAAATCCACTCACAACCTCAGATTAAGGCTTACAGTGCTTTCTGCACAGGAACGATACAGCACTTGATTTATGTACTGTACTTGGGTTCTTGTGGCACTGGGCTGTGCAAGGATCACAACACATAAGCGGGGACCTAGTAGCTCGGCCCATGAACAAACACTAGTAATGTGGAGAAGTAGGTTTACGGAGTGCCTGGCGTGACATTTAGGTTATCGTTCGCTTATCGTTTGGATTATCGTTCGGGAAGTTGTCTGGGATTATCATTGATGAAAAGTTGCGCCCATCGGTTTAGCTCACGTAAACATGTATATAAATGCAATATCATATTGTAACCACAAACGTCTTTGTACCCACTACATATTAACAAGGTTATCGTTCTTGGTGGAGACCATATCGTTTTCCACAGAAACAAAGCCCTCAACATAGGTTTAGGGTCATGCCGTGACTAAATAAGTCAACCAATAATTTTGTCCGTCGCTCATATCCTGCTTTGCAGGTAAGCAAGGATCTTTCCGGCTCCTGGATATCCCATTTCATGATTCAAGCCGCCCAAATCTGCGCATTTGCAATTTAATTGCTCGGGTCATTGAACATGATTTCCAGGTGCTCAGATTCTTCGAGTCCGCCGGACTGTAAGATCCCAAGAGTTTAACTGCGGGATCAAACACAAAGAGCTGAGGAATCATGCTTCACAGATTCTTCTCGCGACGTCTGTAGGAAAGTGAAGGCATGCAAACAAACCAGTATACACATGTTGGGTCAGCGTTCTCCTCTGGTGTTGTACCAAAGGTATCTTACGGATCAATTCCCAACTTCTCACACACGGCGTTCATCATGCGGATAAGCAAAGAGCACTTTAGCCGAATTGCAATGATATCCGTCTTTGACACAGGACCCCGACATTTCAACAGTCCATCAACCATCTCTTCGAACTCTAGCTCGCCGCTTAGGTCCTCAAAATGGATGCGAGTGCTCGTTGTGGTTCTATTTCTGACAATTCCCCAAATCCGCGACACTGTACCATCTAATTCTTTCGCACCTAAATTCAACAAAGTTCTACTTGCGCTACTTCTGCCGAGCTGCAGCATCCAGGACGTCGAAAAGGTCGCTCTTGCAACCTTTGCTTTCTGTTTAAAAATCACAAACACACATATTTCTTTAAAGGCCAACCTAGAAGCGATGGCCTCCAACTCCAACCTAGAAGCGATGGCCTCCAACCTAATATCGATCGCCTCCAACACAGCAAAAATCCTCATTGCTTTGTTTTTTTCCGTAAACGTACAGGGATCAAATGATCAATGACCATCAAATCAGCAATCCAAGGAACTCATGTCAATCTCAGACTCGTCCAGTCGCGAGATGAGCTCCTTTTCACTTGAAAGCCACTGGTTGAACTCCTCCTGCCACGATACATGCTGCTTGCACGTCACATCTCCAAATGTGTGATCTAAGCGCAAAGGACAAAAATTGCAATCGCAATTATTTTGAACAGGTGAGGATTAGTTTCCCAAACATGCCAGTCAACAAAACAGGCAGGAACTTGATACAAGTAAGAAAATACTCTTGGAGATTCTTGGGGAATCTTAAAGATCTTGCTTTTGCAAGGATGTCTGTCAAAGACGGCCATGTCAGGTCTACGATGGCTTTTGCCTGAGTGGAACCAGGATTGCACTGGACGCCAAGCAATATGTTTGTTGCGCATCATCCCGGAGAGTGTCTTCATTTGTTAGTCTTAGCATGTTTGTGTCTAAATGCGTTGATGTCCATTTTGCATCATTTTGCACACCCCATGGCGTGCCCTCGTGACCACCACATCACGCTCTGCCATTTGCTTTCGGATCTCTTCAGTCTTCTCTTCATACTCTGCATTGGTATGTGCCTTGTAGCCGTACCTTGGAGGCCAAGGTGAAAGGAGACTTGGAGGCACCAAGGTGCTGAAATTCACCGCGTCGAATCAAACGAAGCCCCTGAACAAATGACATCTCCCCTGGTACAGGTAAAACATGGTAAACATCAGCCTACAACTTTGAGCATCTTGGTAGAACATGGAAGAAACAACATGATATTCTGGGCAAGCAAATTGGTCTGCCTCCTTGTCTGACAGCTTGATATGCATCGCACAAATCAACCTGCCCAAACACGAGCCCCACCAGGTCTGGAAGGCGGTCGGCACCACACTGGACTTCAAAAGGTCGTATAATAGCAATAAACAGCAAACATGAAATGACATTGTAGAACATAGGAAGGTCAGTGCCTCTCCTGTAAAGGGGCCTTATGAAAGTGTGCTTATCTTTCTTTCAATGATCTTCACCTACTTAGTCTTGGCACAGTGACAGCTTTCATTCCTTGACACAGTGACAGCTGCCACGGTGTTCTGAATGTCTTATTCTCCCGTGTCATCTGCAATACTACTCTTGTCCCGTCTTCTGTTTGGCCACGCTGCATCTCTTGGAGACTTTGGATTTGCTCCTTGAGGAGCTTCGACATACGACGATGGTTTCCCTTTGTGGCTTCCTCTTGCTCTTGTTGACACAGGTTCGTCAAGATAATGTGCCCTCGGATCTCAGCTCATCTCATACAATCTGCGAAAGTCTTGCAAGAGTCTTGCCTTCTCTTGCCAGCGAAAAAAGACAATGACTCACACACACACACGACTTCATGCATATGATCCATAACTGTGGCTAATGGACAACATCCTACACCGCTATGTGCACACTTTGGGACAACAGTGAGAAACACAAACAACGTTGAATGTCCTGCACCACCTCCACAAAGCTGTAGGGGGCATGGATTGCTGTGGTGCAGGAAATTGTACATCAACATAAATTTACTCCTTCTTCAGGCATGATTGCTTAAGCAACTCAGACTGATGTTATGAAGGACAACAAAAGATTGCTCATTGTTCTTTTCATGCTGGCTTGTACTGCTGTTGGATGCTGTTGACTGTTGGATGCTGTTGGATTTGGCACTGAAGTCACCCCTGCTACGCCAGCCACATCTCCCACTACCTTAATAGTCAAGAGTCGCAAAGCCGAGGAAATAAGCCAAGCTGTCTTTGAAGCATTTTGACCTAACAAGCGTTGCCGCTTCTTTGTGCTTCCATCCGCGACGTTGTCAATGAACACTGCCTCACAAGCACCACAACATTGAAGACATTCCTCTGCCAAATAGAATAGCACACAGCCAAATTCATGGCATTTCCAAGCCACCATAATCAGATTGAAAATGCCAATGGTGACCTCGAGGTCCAAGCCCAAGACAAACAAAAAAGGTTGAACGAGGGACAGAAAGAGGAACAGCATCTTGTCAAAAGCACTACCTTGCAACTACCTTGCAAGGGGTAACACCACTGTTAAGTCAACTCCAGGTGACAAAAAGGAAGAGAAGCATGTAGATAAATAAGAAAGGCGCGCCAAACTTCCTTCCTTGCTGTGCTGGATTCTAAAAGGCAATTTTCAAAAACAATCATTCAATTCAAGAATGTGTCTTTACATTCCTCACGCACCTGGGCTTTACAGCCGAAATTGGCAGGCTTAAGACAGAACGTAATAGACCTCACATGAGACATGACATAGCATATCTTGCATTCCTAGGGAGAAAATTCAACCTAAGAGGAAGTCTCTTGTGAGACAAGGCGAGCGTCGCAACTGCTCCTGCAAGGGCATGCCATACTCTGAGGAACATCCGTCAGTAAAGCATCGGAAGCAGGTGAACATTGCCGCGGAGACAGTGCCTTGGGGAGTCAAATCACCAAACAGTGGGCATCTTGAACGTTTTGAGAGTGTTCACCTTGGATAGATTCAATCACTCACCAGGTTCATGTCTGGCGCGGTGCTAGGGAGATTGGAGGGCTCTTCCTGCAGTTGAAGGAAACACAATTTTCTCATGTTGAATGTTGGTTATGGAGTTGTGCATATCAATGCATAATATATATATATATATACAGTATATATATATTATATCCATGCTGCATATCTGAGGAACGAATCACTACAAACAGGCTTCATAAGCACCTCGTTGCCCCTTGGATCTTCGGTTCAGTGAAACAAGGATGGATGAAACGCCAAGCAAGCTGCGAAGAGAAACACACACACAAAGAATCACCCAGGTTTATCATGGTTTATCTAGGTGCACCCTTTGCTTCTACGAACGAGAAGGACATTCATTTCATTCTCTTTACAAGAAGCCTTTTCAGCAGGGATTGGTGAAGAAAACGGGCTCTACTGAGGGTTAGGTACCACGAAACAAACAACTTCTTTGTGAATGTCCACCTGTCTTCGGGATAGTTTGTAGTCTTCTCTCCGCAACATCTTTCACTTGCAACCGCAAACAGTAGTGCAGCAGTTGGCTGGGAAGCTCCAATGTCCAATGGGACTCAAGACATCTCGAAATCAGGTCGGACTCGTGACTAGTGTTCAGCTTTCGTCCGGAGCAGCACTCTAGTTGCTCTTCAGTCTTTCAGCCGCAGAGTGTCAGGTAGTTAAGTTTCCCTAAAAATCTAGGAAACAAATCTTTGGTCGGCGAGCGCTTCCTTGAACCAGCACGAACTATCCTGCTTCCAGTTACTAGTAGCAACCTAGCTCCTACTAGCTACCTCTAGCTACTAGCTACCTACCTCTACCCCCCCGGGCTTAAAAAAACCCGGAAGCGCAACTTTTCAACATTTAGAAGTATTGCTGGATGGCGTCGGCCTCTCAGCTGGGAGCCCTTGCAAGACCTTCTCAGGCAAGGGGCTGAAGATGGGACGCCTGGACCTGGGCCTTTGCACTCTATCTGTGGGGCCTGCCTAACCACACCTGAAGAGCTACGAAAACTTGCAACATGAGAGCGTCGACAGGTGGATCTTTTGCAAGGTCCTTTAAACATGCTGTACTTTTGATTGGCCCAAGATGTGGAACCGAGGAACTAGAAACAAAATCCATGCAGAATGCAGCCGGACACAGTTCTACAATATTCTACAATATCTGGGTGCCTCGTTCTGGCATTCAATGCCGTGAACTTCGGCAAGCAGGAGGGGTCGGAATCTCTGAGCCAGGGTTACCGGCAAATGCTGAAGCTCCTTCCATTTAGAACTCAGGCCGGGCGGATATTTACAGGACCTCGAGTTTCGCCTGCGATGAAGAGCACCGGCCTTCTGACCTTGGGACTGCCTGGCGCACCTCGCCTGCTTTACAATACATGGTGTGGGCTTTTCCGCTAAGATTGCAGCTGCGAGAGCTACAAACCCCATTTGAGCTTTCATCTGCAATGCAAACATGTTTTTTTTTAAATATGTTTTTTCTTTTTTCTTTCCGTCTGTCCTTCTTCTTTCTTCCCGAAAGCATTGCGAAGGGTTCTTCCGGAAAATCCTTTGAACACTGACACTTCGACACTCACACTTACACACACACACACTGGAAGAGCGAAAGCATCCAAGTGCGAAGTATGCCAGTGTCAAAGTACGCAAGTGTAAGTATGCAAGCATGATATGCAAGGGTGAGCATGCAAGCATGCAATGACTATGCAAGCATGCAATGAGTAGGCAAGTGTGAGTATGGAAAACTAGCACGGGAGATGTCCTAATGAAAAAACATTTCCCCACTTTTTTATAAATTCTCTCTTAAAGGCGGAGTGCGGGACGAACAGCATCAACCGAAAGTGCAACCCTCTGCGGAGATCGTGCGTGTCGAGTGCGCGAAATGCAGGTGAGAGTGCGATTT